CTAACTAATAATTATCACAAATAATTAAATGCCAAATTAAAAGAAAATCACACAATTTGACTAAAATTACAAAAATATGTTATTATTTTTTTTGAATTTTCATTTTGGTAAAACACCTAATTATTAATTAATTCCAAAAAATGTAAAATCAAATCTTAAATGACAATGCTATATTTTTGTATTTTTAATGCATTAATAAAATTAAACATGCCCACAAATATATACAAACAATCAGGAAAATCACACATAATTAAAGACAAGACCTAATTTTGAGAATTATTTTGGAGTAATTCGTATGAGGCAAAAATCACGTGCTCACAGTTAGTATTTCGGGTATCCCTTCGATGGCTTTGATCTGGTCTGGATTGACCTCGATGCCTCTTTGTGATACCAAGAAATAGAGGAATTTGCCTGAGGTTACGCCAAAGGCGCACTTTTCGGGATTTAGATTCATTCCATACTGTCTTAATATGTTGAAGGCCTCTGTAAGGTGGTAAATGTGGTCCTCTTTCCTTTTGGATTTGACCAACATGTCGTCGATGTAAACCTCCATCGTTTTGCCGAGTTGGTCTTTAAACATTTTGGTGACCAACCTTTGGTATGCTTCCCCCGCGTTCTTTAATTCGAACGACATGCCTATGTAGCAGTACGTTCCCTGATGGGTGATGAAAGTGGTTTTCTCTTGGTCTTTCTTCTCCATGAGGATTTGGTTGTAACCCGAGTAGGCATCCAAAAAGCTCAGCAGTTTGTGCCCTGCTGTTGTATCGATGAGTTAGTCGATATGGGGTAGTGGAAAAGAATCTTTCGGGCATGCCTTGTTTAGGTCCGTGAAATCAATGCACATCCGCCATTTCCCGTTTTTCTTCTTTACCATGACCACATTTGCGACCCATTGGGGATATTTTGATTCTCGGATAGAACTGTTGACAAGTAGCTTATCAACTTCAATGCTGACAGCCTCATTGATTGCGGCATTGAACTTTCTCCTTATCTGACACATCGACAGATATAGCGGGTTGATGTTCAGCTTATGCGTAGTGATGTCTTTAGGAATGCCCGGCATATCTGAATGGAAGAAGGCAAACAGGTCGGCATTGTCAGTTAAGAATTTATGAAATATACCTGGTTCTGAGAGATTGTGTCCGATATAAGCCTTTTTTCTGATGTCGTTGTTGTCTAGTTGGACGGGGTCGAGATCTTCTAGGGTCGAATCAGTGGCCTCTATGATGTCGGGATCCTTGATAACGTCTGTCTGTGCGTCAGGGTTAGTTCCCGACATTGCTAATTGTTATGCTTCCATGCTAACTCCCTTTAGTTGTTAGGTGTGCATGCAATACTGGGCAATGCGATATCATTCTTGTGCGGTGCGTTCTTCTCCCCGGATGCTGAATATTCCCCATGGAGTAGGGAACTTGATTACTTGATAGAGACTAGACGGGATGGCCCGCATGGCATGTATCTATGGTCGCCCTATGATGGCGTTGTAGGTTGTGTCTTGGTCCATGATATGAAATGTTGTTTCCAGGGTGACTCCTCCGGCTAGAATGGGTAGCACGATTTCTCCAAAAGTTCGCTTGACTGCATTATTAAAACCCGTTAGTGTTATGCCACGCGGTATTATTTTATCTTCGAGCCTCATTTGTACGAGGACTCGAGGATGGATAATACACGCGCCACTTCCGTCGTCCATTATTATTCTTTTCACATCAGTATCTGCTATATGTAAAGTAATAATAAGAACATCGTAATGAGGGAAAAACAAACCATCGGTATCTGACTTATCGAAGACGATACTATCTTCGAGGTCATCATACCGTCCATGAGTGATCGATCGTTTGCGTTTGTGTGTAGTGGTGAATTTCACATGGTTGATTGTTGTCCTGTCACCTCCACCGATGATCATTTGTATGGTACGAGCGAAGAGGGCGATTTTGGAGGTCCCTGGGGTTGTTCGCGTCCGCGGGCAAAGTTGGCTCGCCCTCGGTTGCTCATCAGTTTTTCAGGTGTCCCTGATTTAGCATTCTCACTACCTCTTACCGCACACCTATGCATTCCTCGTTTTTGTGACCCCGTTCCTGGTAAAATTCACAGAGGGCATTTGATTTCCGAGTACTTAGATCGGATTTCATCTTTTGCGGCCATTATACCTTCGTGCCGAGCTTCTCTAATGCGTACACTATTTTTGAAGGAGAAATACAAAAATTGTGAGCAGATAAGAGCGGAGGCATACCTCTTTCATTTCGCGGTGCCGCGATATGTCGAAGATGGTCATCCATGTGCCGTAGGGGAGGTGGGATGGTTGTTCTGATGTAGGGCTAATGTCTCTCTCGACTAAGACGGGGGCCCAACTGATCCCTTCGACCATCGTTGCGATGATCCTTCCTTGTTTCTATTTGAACTGACGTTAGCCGTTGGATCGGGTCATTAAGATCATCCTCGTCGGCTCTTAGCTCGGCGCAATAGGTGTTGTGAATTTCTTTCCAAGTAGTGGGAGGGTATTTCATAAGCCTGCTTACTAGCTTTCTAGTTGCTCGCAACCCGTTTCTGCTTTACCCATTCTAGAAGGCCGCTACCGCCATCCCCTCTGATACATGTGGTAGGCTCATTCTCACCTTGTCAAACTGGGCTAGGAAGTCCCTGAGTCCCTCGCCAGGTGTCTGCCTAATGGAGAATATGTCGTTTACCCTGGCTTTCGCCTTTTTAGCCCCCGCATGAGCGGTGTCAAACTTGTCCCCCATTTCTTCGAACGTTGCTATTGATCGTGCCGGTAGTTATGAGTACCAGGTTAGGGCTCCCCCTGTTAAGGTTTTGCCAAACTTTTTTAGTAGCATTGATGGTACTTTTTCCTTCGAAAGATCGTTGCCTTTTACCGCTATGACGTAGTGAATGATATGATCTTCTGGGTCTGTAGTACTGTCATATATTTTTATGTACGGTGGCATTTTGAAGGTTTTAGGAATGGCATGGGGGGGCTGCTTCTTCGTTGTATGGTTGCTCGATGAATCGACCAATGTTCCGTTTCGGTAACAACTTCGGGGCGCCTGGTATCTTATCGACCCTTTCTTGATGCTCCTTCATCTGGTCGTGGAGTGCCTTATTTCGTTTTCCATTTCTTCCATTTTTTTAGAATGACTGCGAGTGTGTCATTACCTGCATCAACAGTGGTGTGAGTGTTACCAGTTCGGGAGGCATCTTGTTCGCCGGTGGCTGTCATGATTTCTATGTGTGCAGCGTCCCTGTTCTCCCTTTGTGGGTTTATCAAGTATGTTGTTTAGAGTGCTTGTTAGCCATTCTTCCATTAGCCTTTTTACCGCCGGTGGCGCTTCTTTCTTTATTAGCATGGAGGCTTCCTTTTCGCGCGAAGCGGTAACGCTTTCGCGGGGGAGGGGGGATGCGAAGCATTTCGCCTAGACGTAGCGCTTAGCGTTATGTTTTCATTGTCTTCCCTATCATCTTCGTTGATGGTGTTCAAGATGTTGGTAGTGACACTGTTATCGCTTTCAACCTCGCATCTTCTTTCCATACCATTGTTAGTTGGTGCAAACGAAGAAGATGTGTTTTTTTTAATGATCTAGAAAGAACTATAGTTTCAACTGAAAAACTCCCCACAAACGGCGCCAAATTGTTTGTGAAAATAAATGCTAAACTAATTAATGATAAATTAATATGATGAATCTCAGCTGAATTTAATAATCTCTAGATCAAAGGGAACTAAACTTCTGTATGACGAGTAAAGTTTATAAGCATTAAATGGTGAACTTAATATGCTATGATTGACAAGATGTGCAATATCATACTCCCTCTGCTCCAATTTATGTGAACCTATTTCCTTTTTGGTCTGTTCCAAAAAGAATGACCCCTTTCTAAATTTGGTAACAATTTAGCTTAAACTTACATTTCTACCTTTAATGAGAAGCTTTTATAACCACACAAATACTCTGGGTCCCTTTTTGACTTGTTTAGGACCACACAAATTCTAAAAGTCTTCATTTTTTCTTAAACACCGTGCCCAGTCAAACATGTTCACATAAATTGGAACAGATGGAGTAAATGTGTAATAAATGCAAGAAATAATAATGATTGTAGTATAGAAGAGTAGTCACCCAATGATTATCTGATTGGGTGTTTCCTTTTTCTGGCGACGTGGAAAGGAAAGCAATCAATATCTATGTGGGATCTTGGGATTCACAAATAAATGATGAACAACATGTGCATGGATGAGATGAATAAGACCACTTTCTCGTATTTTCTTTTCTCAATCCTACAATATCTCTCAGTTCCCAAAAATGGCAGATCCCTCTCTTGTTTACTATCTCATCCTATATATAAGGGATATTCCCCAAAAAACCCTACAAAGTACAACACAAAGAACATTCCAAAGGTATATTCTTCCTTTTTCTTTCTAAGTTGACTACCAAAACTACTTCATTTCATCCACTCGCCTCTGGTCGTCATCCTTTGCCACAACGACCGTCAGTCATTGTATTGTAGTGACTCCGTCCCAAGCCTCGCTTATCCGTTGTCGTGGTTGCCAAATTTGGACCAATACAGAAGGAACAGATGAACAGTGGCTGGAATTACTGGTTGACGGTGATTGTCACGGTGTATTGGATCAACCCCCAATTCAACATTTTGAAACCTAGTCTGATTGTAGGAGAAGAGAGTGTAGAAAATATTGAGAGAGTATTTTATTGTACACTGTAAATGTAGTTATATAGAGAATATTAAGGTTAATTAATAACTTTATTGAGCCTTAAAGCACCCACCTATGGGTGGACCCAAAATTTCCTACATTGCTATAAAGTGTTTGTTTGGAATCGTAGATTAAAAGTAGCTGAAGATCATCAAACGTTGAACAAATTTAAAGTGCCAATCATCCGGGGTTTACTTGTACTGCATTACCAAAAAGTAGAATAATTTTGAAGTATAGCTTCACAATCAGACAGTATTCTTGAAACAAGAAAGATTCAGTACATTCAACAAAATCTTAAAGAATGATATAGCTAATTACAAGTACAACCCTTGTGTTGAAACGAGAAAAAGGTAAATGATCCGACTCTTAGTACAATTGGAAATAACAAGATGGGACAAAAACGAAATTACTTATTATTTTTTAATTATGACAGAAATAATAATGTAAGAAAAAAAGTAAAACACTATCATGAGGATGAGCATTTTGGTAGATCTGGTGGAGGTGGAGGTAGCCTAGTTGATGGTGTTGGCCCATTCTCAACAACAAATGCTGTTGCTAAACCCCAAGGCAAATGCACATCCAAATGACAATGCATCAACCATACACCTGTTAATAGCCAAACAAGAAGGGGGAAAAAAGTTAATCTTCACCAACATGACTCTTGTCATTTATCCCTTTATAAAGTTCAATTAATTCTTATTATATTAGTTCGTATCAAACGTTTACGATCAAAGTAAAATATAGTACTCCCTCCGCTACAATATATGTGGCACCACTTAAGTTATTTCTAAACATAAAAAGGTGATCTTCTTTTTTGGACAGACTAAAAAAGTAAAGTGCGGAATGGTGACACACTTTTGACAATTACATTGTCCCTTTTGCAAACAGAATCAAGTAAGCGTTCAAGTGTATATTTACCTGGATTGTTAGCTCGAAATCTAATGACAGCCCATCCTCCAACGGGGACAGCAATAGTATTGCGCTCTTGTGGGTTAAAAAGGTTAAATTTCTTTCGGTCAATTGTAGGGTTGTAGTTGCCAAAGCCTTGAGCCAAGACATGAAAATTGAATCCATGTAAGTGAATTGGATGGTTTTCGACACCAATCAAAGCAGTATTTTGCATTACAATCTCAACTGTGGCATTGAACTTGAGTTTCTTCACCTTTGTCGACTTTGTAGTCATTACAAATGCAGGATTAAAGCTATTATTAGGATTTGTATAATCAAACTTCAAGGGTGGTTGGTCTGGAAAATCTGTAGTGTAAATCCCTTTCACATTGTTGAAAAATGCCTCTAAAATTGACATCTTGGTTGGGAATTGGAAAGATGCATTGTTCATACTTGCCGCTAATCGTTGCCCATTTGGGCCTGCACATATTGCATTTCCTGCTTTTCCACAAGCAACTAGGCCCAACCCAATAGTGATGAACATTTGCTCGTCTACTTGGCGAGGGGGAGGAACCCAAAATGGCCCAGTTACAAGCCCAGTCAAATTGGTGAAAAATGTGTGGGCTGTTGGTGTGTCGTTGAAGGCTGGTAGGATTGGCAATTTTGGAGTTGATGATGGTTTTGCACCTTCATACAAAAAAAAAATCTTAATAAAACAACTCTAAGGTGAAAAATTATTTATTCACCTACGATTTAGAAAATATTTATACAATCTGGTCAATTATAAGGTAATTATAGGCAAATTTCTATAATACTTGAAAAATGACACTAGGTAGCTACTCTAATAGCTGTTATTTAGAAATTAGTCAATGTGTCCTGAATTTCCGTTTTAAGGATATTTGTGTCCTGAGTTGTCCTGAAATTAAGAGTTTAGTTCAAATTTTTATGACATACTCCCAACGTTTCAAATTAGATGAGGTACTTTCCTTTTTAGTCTGTTCCAAAATAAATGATACATTTCTAAATTTGGAAATAATTCAACATTAAACTCTTCATTTTACCGATTTTACCCTTAATGAGAAGCTTTTATAATCACAAAAATGTTATGGCCGCACAAAGCTTTTAACCCTTAAGCTTTTAATATCACAAGTTTCAAAAGTCTTTTTTTTCTTCTTAAACTCAATGCTTAGTCAAACTACCTCGTCTAAATTGAAACGGAGGGAGTAATAAGTACTAGCTAATTCCTAAATAGTAACCTTAAGAATAGTTAAAAAAATTCAGACTATCAATGTATATAACTTAAATCATAGAGGATGACTAGATCAATACCTTCATAGAAAATGATTCCGGTGGTAGTAGTGTTGTCAAATGGTACCCCGGCCGCGCTAGAGTAAGGATTTGCAGCCATGTAGTAGGATGCGGGGGCTTGATTGGCTGTTAGGAGGACATCAGTCGTTTGGCCAGGTGCAACAACAACTACATCAGTGATATATGGGTTGGTGTAAGCAGCATCTACCGCAACAACTTTCATGTTATGATTGGCAATCTTGAAAAAGAGCTGGTTATTGAGTGCAGCATTGATGATGCGAAGGAGATATGTTTTTCCTTGTTTCACTATTAGCTTATATGTTTCTAATAATGGAAATGAAAAACGAAACCCAAGTTAGCCACATTGGAAAAAAATAACACGATTATGTTCTAAAGAAAATGAAATATTCATTCATGATATATATTTCTTACTATTAGAAGAGCAAGGGTAAAGATCGCCTGGCTGGCCATTAATGGTGTAAGCATCTGAGTTATTAGGTGCACCTCCGGTAGCTAGCCCTTCATTCTCCACATCCACAACATTGGCATTCCACCATTCTCCTGCAATCACATTTTTAATAATTTTTATGAGAAGATAATTTATACTCCCTCCGTTCCAATTTATGTGAATCTGTTTGACTGGGCACAGAGTTTAAGAAAAAATGAAGATTTTTTTAATTTGTGATTCTAAACAAATCTAAAAGGGGTCTAGAGTATTTGTGTAGTTATAAAAGCTTCTCATTAAGGTTAGAATTGGAACTTAACGCTAAATTATTTCTAAATTTAAAAAGAGGTCATTCTTTTTTGGAATGAATAAAAAAGAAAATATGTTTACATAAACTAACTGGAATATTGACTAAATTAGGATTTGATTCAATCAAGTAACATATATTGACTAAATTAACTTTTACGATGTAAAATTGCTTTCAAATGCCCGTGCATATAACTTAAACCTGACATAATATAAGCTAACTAAAAAAATTACGAGTAGAAAAAAGGGTTAATTACCTAAGAGGATGGGGACTTCCCTATAAGGTTTAGGGAAAGGAAAAGAGCGACCATATTTGGGACGAATAATGAGGGCACCATGAACCGTGGCTCGTAGCCATGACACGTGGGCGTGCCACCACAGAGTTCCTTCCTGTCCCGTTAGGTTAAACCTGTACGTGTAGATTTTCCCGGGTCGGATCGCGCACTGGGTCGCAAACTCGGGTCCATCTGCCCACCCACTCAATAGCTGGAAAACTCCATGCCTACATGCGTATAACATACATAAATAAAACAGCAGTTTATGTGTTTTTCTTTTTTTACTATCAAGTTATTTACTATTCATAAAAGTTATGTAATTAACTACAACCATGTTTGAATCAATAACCAGGAAAAGAATGAAACCATCCTACCAAAATTGCTTACACAACACTAATATATAGTTATATAGTTTTATTAAAATCCTTTAAGCATTATTTTAATACATATTGAATTAATTAAATAGTAAGTGGTACAAATAATTTACATTAGTCCATGCATGTAACAATATAGTACTTTTATGTTTGGCTCTTTTTTAATAGTTTCTTTAACTAACTATAAAGTAAAATATTGATGAGTGACGTCATCTTAGATGCTATTTTTAAATTTAAACATCAAGATTTGATTCCGTGAATCCACCATGTATCAATCAATAAGATCAGTAACTAATAATATAAATGTTCAAATTCTCCTTGTTTTTTTACATGTACAAAACACCAACTACTTTGCACGATTGAGACATCACGAGACCAAAATAAAAAACTAATGGTGAAAAGGAAATTTGAAAGGAAAAGAAAAAAAACAAATTTGACATGTCTAGTTCCTTATTGCGGCCACATGTTTTAAACTGTTGCAAGTAACTATTAGAACTAGTTAAATTATTTACATTGTTAGGGTAAATGGTGTTAAATGGGCGGGTTAGGCTGATTTTGAGGAGGTCAAAATGAAATTAGTCAATAAATGCGTGGATCAATGACCTACCCGAAAAATACTTAGGCTGAGATTGATTGGGTTAAGATGAGCTAAACTTTGAATCATAGCTCAACCCGTCCAATTAACTCTTATCAAACTTTAATTAGTGTGTGCTGTTTTCTTATCAATTACTATTAATTATCAAAGAAGATTTTTTTCTTTTGGTGCGGTCATATATAACATATCAAACAAAAAAGAATTATTTTTAAGATATTTTAACAAAGTTATTCATGGATCAATTTGGACTAAAAATTAGCTCAACTTTAGATGGACTGAGATGAGCAGGGTCAAAATGGATTGCGTTCAACAAATGGGTGGTTCAATATCCGACCCAACCTTGGATGGATTGGGTAGGTTAAATGGGTTTGGGCTCAAATTGCCACCCACAAATTTCTTAAGTTAAATGTGAAGGACATATATACCAATGAATAGTGAGATCGTATGGTGATTTATTGAAGACATGAACGACAAGGGTGTCGCCCTCTCGAACACGGAGCGTTGGGCCAGGAAGACTTCCATTTACTGCAGTGATCACTTGTCTACGGCATAACCTGTTTACAGTAAGGTTTTGCACCTACAACAAGGAAACACGTAAACATATCAGTCAGAAAATTTTTACCAAATAAAGGCAAAAGTTTCCAAATTTTTTCTTTTCCTTTGTACAGTTAAACGAGGTGAAGTGAGTATGACGTCTAACAACAAATGATTGTATATATAAACTGGCTGCATGCATCCAAATTACTATTATGAAGAAATTTTTTATAAAGGGTGGAAGAGAAAGTTAAAATAAAAAAAACAAAAATAAAAAGTTTTATGAAAGAAATGATGAAAATGTACTTATTTAAACCAACAATTGCATGCCTAAGATATCGATGCTTCGTATGGTGGCAAGGCTAAAAAACCAACATGAAGATAACTAGAGTGTTCGAAGAAGGCAGTTTTGATCGATTGGAGACATAGTTTAAGAAATAAAGAAAGACTTTTGACACATATCAAAAGTATCCTTAAAATATGTGATTTTAAATATATCATGATATTTGTATGATGATAAGAACATGTCATTAAGAATAAAATTTTAAAATGGTTACCACATATAAAAGTGTCATCCTTTTTTAAACACAAAGAGTGTCATATATATATAAGATAGAACAAAGATCGTATGAGCCAATTTCTGTGAACACAATGTCCAATATTCATGCTTGTTTTCTCAATACCAGAGGATGATCATGAAAAATGGAGAACCTAGTTTGCATGGGAATAGAGAAGAGAATTAATTACATGAAAAGAATGCTCGATAACTTCAGAAGAAACCATTGATAAAGAAGCCACAAGAGCAATGGCGCATGCAAACAAGAAAACCTGATGAGACGCCATTGCCAAAACAAAAAAAAAAAGGAAAAATCACAACTCAACTATGAGTTAACTCTTCGAGAATATGATGGAGACAAGAATCAGAAGTGATCCTTTTATACAGTAATGGTCTTATAAACTTAAGAAAGCCATACGAAAGCCACAAGCCGGCAATATTTTATTTCATTTTTTGTTAAAAAAAAAAGGTTTACCATCTGTCTTAGCTAGGTTTTCTTTTTCCTCTATTTATTTAAAAATAGAAATAATACATCTTTGAATATGGTCTCTAAATTATTGGCCAAAACTCACCCTCACGATTGCGTGAAAGACTAATTTAAGGCAAAGAGGAGAAGTGTTTGAAACATGGATCGGTAAAATGTGGTTGTTTAACCAAAAAAATAGAATTTCAGTCAAAGTTAGAATTTAGAAGAACGCAAAAGTTACTGATAATCAAAAGAATATGCAGAAGAAAGTAATTTAGAGTAACCAGAGTGTAATCAGGAGAAAAATAAGTGAATTAAAGTATATTCCAATTGTGTCTTGTCTTTACAAGTGACCAGATACCTCCTTTTTATAGGTATCTTGAAGATATGCGTTTCATCCAAATCATAATGAGGCTATTATGAATAATTANTACTATTGGTTTAGTGGGTGAATATAATGTTCCCTTCCCTGAGAAGTGAAATTTTGCACGCAGGTCTTTTATCCCTTTCGTACCTTCTTCTTTCAAGTTTATCAGCTTTTCTAATTTTACCCCCCCCCCCCCCCTTTTTTCTTAGCAACCATGGGAGTTGTAGGGGATGTTCCCAATTTCCGTGGTTGGGTAGCTAAATTGCTGAAGATCGCGCCAATGAACGATGGATCTAGGAAAACACTTTCTAATCGTTTTGGTTGGAAGGTAAAAACTCATGGTAAGAGTTCACATTTTGTTCTTTTCGTGCCTATATTCTCCTTTATTGTTTTAACTTTTATCCTTCTTTTTGTCAGGATTTGCTATTCGAGGGGTTACTGCTGAAGCAGTTGCAACCTCTCATGTCTCTTTGGGAACTCGTACTCCTTCGGGAACCCGTATCTCTTTAGAGAGAGCCCGAGAAATAGTCTTGGGTTCCTCTTCTACGAAAAGGAAGGCTGTTGAAGAGGAAAATGAGAGTTCCTTGGTAACGAGGCCACGAGTTAGGAGACGCATCGTTTCCGATGACGAAGCTGAAGTTTCGGTTTCTCTTACCGAACCTGTTGAAACCCCAATAATAATTCCTAATGATGACGTCACTCCCCACGATACTCGTGAGTCTATCGACCAACATTTCTTTAGTGGATTTGGTCGTGAAGATGTCGGGCCTATTTTAAACGAAGTACCTTTATCGTCTTTTTTATTACTCGTGCCTGTGATTCCTTCTTTACCGGCCCCAGCTATTTTCGTTCCTTCTTCTACTGCTCTTACCTCTTCTTCGGCTCCTCCTTTGACTATTCCCCCTCATATAGTTCATCATACTGAAACGGGCTCTTCAAGTAGAAGTGCCGCTATGAGGCGGGTAACTATTGAAATTCCTGTTGAGAATAGCCTTTTGAGAAAGTCAGGTCAGGCGGATGTATGGCTGGAGCCTCTTATTAGCCCAATTGAAAAAGCAAAGTTGGAGAGCCACAGTTCCCCGACTTTAATGAATGATATCGTGCATGCCACTCTGAAGGTATTTTCCTTCTCTCCCTTTTTACTTTGCAAAATTTTTCATCTTTGGGATTCTTATTTCTTCTCTTTTTTTAGGCCAATCTTATCGGCAAAGAATTGATGAAAAGAATTGCCCCTTTAGAGAAGATAGTACGCGACTCTCAATTGGAAGCAACCAATTAGAAGGGGCAATTTGAGAGTGCTCAGCTTGATATAGAGAGCTTACAAGAGAGCAAGAATACCTTAGAGCAGCGAGTACGGGCTTTAACTTCAGAATTGGCGGTTATAAAAGCTTCTTCACACCAAACAGAGAAAGACAAAGAGCATCTCGAGTCCTCCTTCTCAGAGCAGCTATCTAAAGCTAGTAAAGAGATCAGAGAATTAAAGGCTCTTTTAAACCAAAAGGAAGTTTACGCTGGGGAGCTTGTGCAAAATTTGACTCAAGCACAAGAAGACCTCAGAATCTCTGCTGATAAGGTGCGTGCTTTAGAATTCTCCCACGTCTCTCTTCAAGCTTCCCACAGCTCTGCCTTGGCTGAAAATGAAGAGCTAAAAAATGAGATCGC